AGAGAGAGGGAGAGAAAGAGAGAGAGAGAGAGTGAGAGAAATAGAGATAGAGAGAGAGAGAGAGAGAGGGAGACAGAGAGAGAGAAAGAGAGAGAGAGAGAGAGAGAGAGAGAGAGAAAGAGAGAGAGAGAGAGAGCGCTCATGGCTCCGTGCAGCTTCAGAGAGAGAGAGTGAGAAGGTCCTCTGTCCTCACACTTTTCTTGTAAATGTATCTTACGTCAGTCAAAACTGAAGCTTCTCATGGCTTCGTTTTAAAAATGTTAATATACAGCTGCTTGCTGCTGATTCTGAACTCCTATAAATAACAGAATATCAAGAGGAACTTTTCAAAACGTGAGGCGTACTCCTGGTGTTTGTGCTGTGGATAAATTGAACAGATTAAAGTAGTTTGTTGCAAAAACAAAATTAATTTAAAGGGAAAAACACATTTGATATAAATACAAACCTAATATTAAAAATAAACCATAAGACAGGGGTGTCAAAGTCCTATTGGGTCGGGGGCCAGATTTGTTCAAATGAGACCTCAAGTGGGCCGGACTAATTTTACAGACATCACTATAACTCAACACATGGAATCTGTGGAATCTGTGCCATCTCCGTGCGCAATTCAAGGAAGAATTTTAGCGCTGCTCCGGGGTTAAACCAGCAGACCTCTGTATGAGCAGGGAGAATCTTTTTTATAATACTCCCTGCTGAGAAAATAGTTCAAAGTGCCCCATTTAATTAATTTTCGTATCATGATATCAACCTTTACGTTGCTCATTATAGGTTTTAATACAATTCAGGGAAAATAAGTATTACAAACATTTTATTGATAAAAAAATCCAAAAATATTTTTCAATACATTTCCTCCTTCTTCCCAAAACGTCTCACGGTCCAGATGAAACCTGCTGTCGGGCCGTATGTTTGACATCCCTGCCCTAAGATAAGAGTTAGCCCTAACCCTAACCCAAAAAACAAAGACGATCGTCTGCAACGAAAAGTGAACTAAGTAAACATCTGTAATATTTATTTTAGTTATAGAGAAGACATTCAATCAAAGAGTCTTCAATTTCCTTTGACAGTTTCAGAATCTCACAGTGTCACAAACATCTCAGACAAAACAAGTGTTTGACTTTATTTTTACGTCTGATGGTTGAAATTGGAATGACTGTTTTTCTTTGTTTAATTATTCATAATTTATCTAAAAATCAGCTGTTCAGGTGGTAAAGAGTGAAATATACAACAAGTTATTTGTTTTATATATGTAGGTTTAAAATGTAAGGCTTTAAATTGCTACCACTCTGTGGATAAAACCACAGAAGAAGAAAATGGACTTCAGCATTAAGATCCTCAGTGTGGATCATTTGATTATCAGCCTGAAGTCTACAGTTTAGTTTCACATCATATGAATCTGAACAGAGAAATTAAACCTGTTGTCTTACCTCAGAGTCTCCAGTCTACAGTTTGGACTCTGCAGTCCAGAACAAAGCAGCTTCACTCCTGAATCCTGCAGCTCGTTGTCAGTCAGGTCCAGCTCTCTCAGATGGGAGGGGTTGGACTTCAGAGCTGAGGCCACGACTTCACAGGGAGTCTCTGACAGTCCACAGCCAGAAAACCTGTCATGACATTAATGGTACATAATATGTTATTTAAAGGAATGTCTTAATATTTTGACAAATTGTGTTCAATCACATCAGAGGTTCAGCTGGTCTGAACTCACTTTAGTTAACAAACATTTCTATCACTTGTAAACGTGTGTGTGTGTGTGTGTGTGTGTGTGTGTGTGTGTGTGTGTGTGTGTGTGTGTGTGTGTGTGTGTGTGTGTGTGTGTGTGTGTGTCTGACTGCTCCTGGTCCCCGTGATGGAATTGAGAAGTGGAGCGTGCATTTAGTGTGAACTATATCATCAGTGTGTATAACAGTGCAGTTTAACAGAGTCTGTGTTGAGATGTTCACAGACTACAGCAGGCTGTGAGATGACGTCGCTATCATTTGAAGTTAGCTGCAGACACGTGAACGGAAAAAGTGACCAGATCACGTTTGTTCCCAACACACGGCCGTATGGATCAAGGATCCACTGTGTTCTGATGCACTAAAAGTAAACTGTGCACCCCATGGCTGGAGTCCCTGTGTGTGTGTGTGTGTGTGTGTGTGTGTGTGTGTGTGTGTGTGTGTGTGTGTGTGTGTGTGTGTGTGTGTGTGTGTGTGTGTGTCTCCACGATGCTCCGTCATGAAGACAGCAGAGAGAGGAGCAGGGAAAAGTAGCTGCAGCTACAACAAATGTGTTTAATACTTGTAGCCTAGTTTTAAATAAAGTATAGCATAGTTATACATGAACGATGGTTAAAACATTTACCCGCCCTGTGGCGGATAGCCCTAAAATTTACTCGCCAAAAAGAAAATGTACGTGTTTGGCGGTTGTTCATTTCAGACCCTGTGTATACGTCATTACATCATACATAATATCAAATCAAGGCTTATAGTATTCAAGTAATAGGCTATTAATGACAGGAAATGTTTCAACATTTAAAGAAAATACTGACATGCTCTTTGTCTCGCTTTTTAACAGAGAAAAAAGTTTATTTTAGTTCTTTAAGTTTACTATTTGGAGGCTGGAACGAGTTTTCATTGTAGCCATGTAGGCTAACTCATAAAGATGCAATCTGCTCATAGAGTCAGAGCAGAACAAACAGCAGACCGGGGACTCAATTTATGTTGTTTGTTGTCACAAATTGTAAAGAACTGTGGCTTAAGAATCAGGCTGTGTTAACTTGTCACTGTGTAGCTTTATTCTGAACTCACACACTGCACTCTATCAGGTACGGTGGCTGAGGAGGATCACAGTGCAAAGTCGCACTTCACAATAGCGCTTCTAGCGCTATAACGATACATTACACAAATCACTCTGTTACGTTACTTTTATTTACCCCTAACCCCTCGTTACATGCAACTTTGTTAAAGCTAACAAGGGAAAGAAATCTTGTTTTTGAAGCTTATAGCAAATTGATTGGGGAGGGTTGTAGACACATTTCCGTTCTGCACGCAGAGAGAAACGGTATTTCATTGTTTCTTGGAGTGTGGTCGTCTTGTGTCTCTGTTCCAGATGTTAATTCAGATGTTTTCTTTGTTTGGTGTTTTCACCTGGCTCTGTCAGAGACTCAGAGACCTGAGTGGAGAGCTCACCTGCCTCTGTCAGAGACTCAGAGACCTGAGTGGAGAGCTCTCTATAAAGCACCTCTAACAAAGAGGGGTGGTGATCTGCAGTGGAGGATTCTTCATGGCAGTATTGCTGTGAATAGTTTTGTGTCTGTGATTAATCCTGATGTTGTAGATACATGTCCGTTCTGAACGCAGAGAGAAACGGTGTTTCATTGTTTCTTGGAGTGTGGTCGTCTTGTGTCTCTGTTCCAGATGTTAATTCAGATGTTTTCTTTGTTTGGTGTTTTCCCACCAAATGTTCATTTTGGGTTTTAAATACAACAGACATCATAAACTGAAATGTCAATTGTTTAATTTTCTGCTAGGTCAGGCAAAGATGGCGGTGTACTTGACCAGGAGAAACAAGATAGAAGGATCTTTGGATGCTGATGTAAAGATTTTTTATGTTTGTATGTTAAAAGCTCGTCTGAAACTAGATTTCAGTTTCTTCAGTTTGTCAAACAATCGAGAAGAGTTTGAAGACACTTGGTGCATCAAACGTGTTTTATGTTCTGTTGAAAATGATGATTTGGTTTTTAGTAACATTTTGATTTGTTTTTGGTTTAATTTAATTTAATTTTATTTTATTTTGTTTTATTTTTGAGTGATTGGCTGTTTGTTATTTGTGTTATAACAAACTGTGCTAAATGCTTTGAGCAATTAAATGAAGTTTGAAAAATCAAAAAAAAAAATCTATCTCCCTTTCTCTCTCTCTCCCTCTTTCTCTCTCTCTCTCCCTCTTTCTCCCTCTCTCTCTCTCTCTCTCTCTCTCTCTTTCTCTCTCTCTCCCTCTTTCTCTCTCTCTCCCCCTTGTTATTAAACAAGAGTAAAGTCTTTGACCTGCTTTTTGTAAAGCGTCTTGAGATGACACTTGTTATGAATCTTCATTTTTGCGGTTACCATGACAGCCCTAGTTGTAATGATAATAATATTTATTGTAACAATAATCACTATTGTTATTACTGACACTAATAGGATGATAAAAGAAAAATAGTAAACGTAGGGATTATTATGAAACAAATGACCTGTGACCTTGAAGTTGGTAAACACTAGATCTAAAAAAAGACATATTTCACTCACAGCATTTAAAGCAGCTCAAGAGAACTTATAACAAAATACAAGTATATTTTATAGTATATATTTGAAGAACTAAACGGCTTATTTTTACTCATATTTAATCACATCTGGACTTACTTTGCCTTCCTGCAGTTCCTCACAGCTGGAATCAGTCTCAGTCGTCCCTGGTCTGATGTGTTGTACTTATTCAGGTCCAACTCATCCAGAACCTCCTCTGACATCTGCAGCATGTAGCCCCAGAGCAGAGCAGTGGATATCAGAGAGTTTCTTCTCTGATCTGTTCCCTGACTTCAGTAACTCTTTGATCTCCTGATGGACTGAGAGGTCGTTCATCTCTGTCAGACAGTGGAAGATGTTGATGCTTCTGTCAGGAGAGATATCTTTACTGTTCATCTTCTTCAGGTTCTTGATGACTCTCTGGATCATTTCTGGACTGTTGTCTTTCTGACCCAGCAGGAATCCTAAGAGTCTCTGGTTGGACTCCAGAGAGAGGCCATGAAGGAAGCGAACAAACAGGTCCAGGTGACCATTTTCACTTTTCAGGGATTTCTCCATGGCACTCTTCAGGAAGACATCCAGGGATAAGTAATCCAGGGAGAAGTCATCCAGGGAGGAGTCATCCAGGGAGGAGTCATCCAGGGAGGAGTCATCCAGGGAGAAGTCATCCAGGAATAAGTCATCCAGGGAGGAGTCATCACTTTCAAAAGTTTGATAAAGGATGTTGATGTCGTTAAGGAAAGCCTTCACTACACCTCTCTTCCTGTTTGTCAAACAGTGGAACATGTAGACTGCAGCCAGGAACTCCTGAACGCTCAGATGAACAAAGCAGTAGACTGTTTTCTGGAAGATCACACACTCTGTTTTGAAGATCTCTGTACAAACTCCTGAGTACACAGAGGCCTCTGTGACATCCAGACCACAACGCTCCAGGTCTTCTTTATAGAACATGATGTTTCCTTTCTCCAGATGTTCAAACGCCAGCCTCCCCAGCTTCAGAAGAACTTCCCTGTCGGCCTCCATCAGCTCATGTGGACTCATCTGAAGTCCCTCATCATACTTGTTCTTCTTCCTCTTTGTCTGAACCAGCAGGAAGTGTGAGTACATGTCAGTCAGGGTCTTGGGCAGCTCTCCTCTCTGCTCTGTGCTCATCATGTGCTCCAGAACTGTGGCAGTGATCCAGCAGAAGACCGGGATCAGACACATGATGTGGAGGCTCCTGGATGTCTTGATGTGTGAGATGATTCTGCTGGACAGATCTTCATCATCACTGAACCTCTTCCTGAAGTACTCCTCCTTCTGGGCGTCAGTGAAGCCTCGTACTTCTGTTAGCCTGTCAACACATGCAGGAGGGATCTGATTGGCTGCTGCAGGTCGAGAAGTTATCCAGATGAGAGCTGAGGGGAGCAGATTCCCCTTGATGAGGTTTGTCAACAGTGTGTTTAACGGTGATTTCTTTGTGACATCAGACACAACCTTCCTGTTTGTGAAGTCCAACGACGGTCTGCTTTCATCCAGGCCGTCAAAGATGAACAACAGTTTACAGACAGCGAGCGTCTCTGCTGTGACCTTCTGTAATGTTGGATGGAAAACACGGAGCAGCTCAAGAAGACTGTACTCCTTATCTCTGATCAAGTTCAGCTCCCTGAATGAAAGCAGGATCACCAGACTGAGGTCTTGGTTCTCTGAGCCGTCTGCCCAGTCCAGAGTGAACTTCTGCACTGAGAAGGTTTTTCCAACACCAGCGACGCCGTTTGTCAGAACCACTCTGATGGGTTTCTGTTGGTCGGGTTGAGCTCTTGTCTTTTGGTTCTGTTGGTCGGGTAAGGCTTTAAAGATGTCCTGACACTTGATTGGAGTCTCATGGAGGGTCTTCTTTTTAGAGTCTGTCTCAAGCTGTCTCACCTCATGTTGGGTGTTCACCTCTTCACTCTGTCCCTCTGTGATGTAGAGCTCAGTGTAGATCCTGTTGAGGAGGGTTCTACTTCCTGTTTCATCACTTCCTTCAGTCACATGTTCACATCTCTTCCTCAGACTGATCTTAAGTTCATCTGTAACCTCCTGCAGACCTCTATCTGCTGAAAGAGAAGAAACATATCCTGAGACTGGATTTATAAAATGATCAAATAAACAATTTTCATTATTACACATTAAGCAAACTGCATGACACAAAAACATCTGTGTAATAAATGTGTGCTGCTACAAGAGAAATAAAATATACTGAATATAAACTGACAGCAAGAATCAGATAAAATGTAAATGTTTCATTTAACTATATATCAATGAAAATACTAACTGCTTTGTCTTGTTTTTAGACACAATGACTTCAGTCTTACTTATTACAGTGCTGGACTTACTGGATCTCTGCAGTCCTCGTTCTCCACACTGGGGACAGGAGGACTCTCCTGATGAAGTAGACTGGTCCCAGTATGAGGTGAGACACTGTCTACAGAACCAGTGTCCACATCTGGTAGAAACTGGATCTCTTAGGACACACTGACACAAAGCACAGCTGGACAGCTGCTCCTCCACAGAAACAGACCCCTTTGTTATTCTGTGGAGATAAGGGAAATCATAAAGCCGTGAAAACTGACACTGACATTTAGAAACCAGTGGTGGACTAAATCAAATAAAGACACAAAAAGCAGTGTTTTAAAAAGGTGTGCCATGTCCTCCGCAGTGAGCATGTGCAGAAGTCTGTCTGTGTAACCATAGAGTCTACCATCTGAGTCCAATAACTGACCTACAAGTGTGATGTTATTTTCAACCAGTTTTCAAAAAACAGGGATTCATTTTTGTAGAGAATGTCCTTATTGTTCCAGATGTAATATCTGTGTGGAGAGAAGTTATGTTTCAAGATGAGAGACCAAGTCAAGAGTATCTGTTTATGGAAGTTGGATAGTTTGATCTGGATTTTACTGATATTATATTGCACAGTAATAAAATTCCAGGCCACCAACTTTAGAAAAAACATAATTAGGAATCATATTCCATAGAGATGTTGGTTATTTAAAAATGTCTCAGCCTGTTCACTTTGAATGTTAAGAGCTGTGAAGTCTAAAAAGTTCAAGCCCCCACATTGACTCGTGTTTATTGTCATGTTCTTTTTAACATAATGTATTTTGTTTTTCCACAGAAAGTTAAACAACATATAATCAAATCTTTTGATTACATTTTAGTCAACATCCAAAGATAGAGCCGGATTAGTGAGTCTGGAAATGCCCTCAGCTTTTGAGAGAAAGGTCCTTCGTCTCAGAGATAAATCTCTTTGTAAACAAGAGTTTTATCAACGATGGGATTCAAATTTAAGGTGCACCTTATATTTTGCTCCTTGGTGATAACTACTCCAGGTATGTGACCTGGTGATTCACTGGATTATTACAAATATGGGGAACATTACAATCTTTAACAGCCATAAATTCAAAGTGTTTAATATTTAGGTTGAGACCTGAGACCTTTGAAAAGTTATTAATCAGCTTTATAGAGAGCTGTGTCATGACTGCACACTGAGCATGTGCAGGAGCTGTGTCATGACCTGCACACTGAGCATGTGCAGGAGCTGTGTGCATGACCTGCACACTGAGCATGTGCAGGAGCTGTGTCAAGTTAAAAAAATCTGAAATATAAGTTGCTCTGGTATAAGACGCGCTGTGTTTTTGAAGGTCTCTCAGAGAGAAAATAAAGTTTACACTGTCTTCCTGCGTGACAGTTTTTATTGTGTTCAGCGAAGTCCAAAACCTGCAGTTACTGTTCAGCTCTGTCACCCTTTTAGTCTGTTTTCTCTTTGTGGAGTCTGCTCTCCTACCAGCTACAGTACGGTAGTCGAGCTCTCAGCCTGCAGGGAAAGTTGTGAAGCAGAGACTCCTAGCTTGCGAGCTCTCTGCCCGACTCTGCTTGTTTCTCTTTAACTTTAATAAAGGACTCTTTCAATCAAAAGAGCGTTCAACAAGGTTTATTTATGGAACAATATCCTACAGTTTTCTGTAAATTCATTATTTTGACCTCTTGAGGGAAAAGTTTTGAAAACGTAGCGCAGCCAGACTGCTCTGTGTCGCTGTCTTTCCCAGAACAGCGTGCAATCAGCTCTTAATACACTGAGGGCCTGATTTACTAAAGTCCCAAGTAAAGAGTACTAAACTGTGTGTTCACTCCAAAAAATTGCACGTTTGGTGAGTGTGTGATTTTCGGGTGATCGACTAAGAAAGTTTGCGTGAATGACACCAGGTGCAAACCTTGTGGAGGCGGTACTATTTAAGTTGGGTTTTTGTGTGTTCTACTGGTTTACGTCATGGAGAGTTTGGACGGAAAGCAGGACGACGGCAAGCGCAAAATAGGTCTCAGTGGAAGAGGTAAATGAACGTACAGTATTTTTGAGTTCTAGCAGATAAAACTGAATATTACAAAAATAAAATTTGGCTTATAAGAAAACCTCTGCATTAAACAGGGCCTCTGTTTTCTTCATCTTTTGAAGATGAATTGTCATACATTGTGCAGGAGGTGTGAGCTGTGTCCTCTGTGGCGCTCAGGCGCGACACTCTGCACATTGTTGAGCACCAGACAGCTGGCCAGCGCTGTGTCTGATCGGACATAAACGCTCTTCCTAAGAGTTATCTAAGACGGGGGTACAAGCAGTGGTGAGGTCCCCCCAGTCAAGCGTAGCAGCAGCGGGCTTTAGAGGGAGGAGACGAGCGCACTATGGAGAGGAGCGCACCAGAGGACACGAGCTGGGGGAGAGACGCACAACCCCAGAAAAAGGAAATCCCAAGTTTAAAATAAAATGTTGGTGAGAAGAGGGAAATATGAAGAAATAAACGTCAGTGTTGAAATTCTTTAGAATGCAGAGGCTGTGAATGTTCAGTTTTGTTTAAATAGGCAACAATATAGTTTAATCATGGTGTTTCCTGCTGTCATTCCAAACTTATTAACATGTGTGGGAATAACGTGATCTGTATGTCTTCTTTTGTTGTGTCTATGTCTCCTCCTAACTTCAATAACAGCAGTCGTGCTATGTCTCCTCCTAACTTCAATAACAGCAGTGTTGTGTGTAACACATGGTCTCCTGGGTTAGCACCTTCTTTTCAAAGGTGTTTAAATTCAGACACCGTCACAATCACCTCAGTTTTTTGTCAGCTTGGTAAATCACAATGCGTGTACTAACTTAACTTGTTTGCATTTTCTCCTTTCTAGGACAGAAACGCCCCATATTGAATATTCATTAAGTCAAACGTACTAAATGGACAATGCGTGTTTTTGTCATATGAAAGATTCAGTCCTCACAGCACGCCGTTAGTAGATCAGTTAACACATTTTTTGTGGTGGTATCAAGTTTGCACACGTTTTAAGACACACAAACCTTTAGTAAATCAGACCCAATGAATGGGGATGGTTTTTTTAATCACGTCCGGTCGCACCCAGTGATGGTGACTTCTGCACCCGCGGTATGATGGCTCATGTGTCAACATTTTATACTTAGTAATAGTAAGACCCAGCCAAACTTTTAAGATGAAAAAAAAACAGGTTATTAAAAGTGCATCTTACACCGGATTTACGGTACTTCAGTAAAAAAAAAAAGATCTCATTGTGTAGTCATGTTAGAAAACTTAAAAAAGACAAACAAAGAGTGGACACAACAGAAAAAACATGATTCAAAGAAAACGATCACAGCAGATCTCACTAAACTTCAGGATCAGTTTAAAAGACTAACTTCCTGCAGAATCACAGAGAAGACGACTAGATACACAACCAAAGAGTTCAATACTGAAATCATATTATCTTATCTATAAACATATAATACATATATATAATCCTTAGTATGTTGTTATGAGTTCAGTGACTTTCTCTGTATATCACTGTGTGCAGGTTGATGATTAAAAACAAGAAAATCAACACATTATGGTGTTCAGGACTCTTTCTTTTAGTTTGACAGTTTGGT